CAAAAGCCTGGCATCCACTCTGGATGATCAGATTGAAAAAAATCAAAATAGGGGAGTGTTCCAGCTTTCATGTGAAGTTGATTATAAATTTCTGAGCAGCGTGAGCTCTAGCTGGCTGTAAAACTCAACTGAACCTCTTGGGTGGACCGCTGTCCCTAACTACGTGGGAGAGAAGGCTCCCACATCTGTCTTTTTGTTCATTTCCCAGATGTGAAGAGTCACGCTGCAGACCCCACTTCTGGGACTCTTCTCAGGGTGACAGTTTCTGAAGTGCATGGACTTGTCTTATTCTTCAAGTCCCCATAGCCTGAGCTGGGACGTTGTGGTTTCTTATCAGTGTTTTGGGTTTTTTTTTTAAAGTGAAATTTTAGCTGAAATATATCCCAGTTCTCTCTTCCTTACAAACTAGAAATATAATTTAAGACTGAAGAGCTCTGCTGAACAACGGAGGTCATGTACCTTAAGAAATTGTACAAGGCCGGGCGATGGTGGCACACGCCTTTAATCCCAGCAATCGGGAGGCAGAGGCAGGCAGATCTCTATGAGTTCGAGACCAGCCTGGTCTACAGAGCGAGTTCCAGGACAGGCTCCAAAGCTACAGAGAAACCCTGTCTCGAAAAACTAAAAAAAAAAAAAAAGAAAGAAAGAAAGAAAGAAAGAAATTGTACAAGGCAGATTGTTTTGAAGGAATAACTACCTAACACACATTACTTATGGTGTGACCTCTAACGTTAGCATGAAAAGAGTGATCTCATTCTTTTTTCCAAAGCCATTCTGTGCTCCAGTCATTTTCATGTCATTTCTAAAAAAAAAAAAAACAGAAACACAGTGCCTTTACTATTAAATATGATTGAATGATAAATAAGGAAGGGAAAAAAGGCTATACAGCCATAAACTCAGTCACTCCCCAGTCCTATAACAGCCAGAATTGTCCTGACTCAGAGTAAATAAATAATTATTTGAGGAAGCGTAAAGACCATCCAGCAGGCAGAAAAACTATCGGTTGCTTCATGTCATATTTAAAGCCATACTGCTGTGTCTATGCCCAGATGTTTTAAGCTACAGTGCTAGAATTCTTATGTCTTTGAATTTTGGTATAGATTTATTTTTAGTAACTGAGGACCCAAGCTTCTTTAACATTTTATTTACTACTCATTTCATGTGGCCCCCCTACAGTGTGTGTGTGTGTGTGTGTGTGTGTGTGTGTGTGCTTGCTCAAGAAGGCACAGTATGCTACAGCATAGGAGTAGAGGTCAGAGTACAACACTGAGAAGTCCGTTCTCACATTCCACCTTGTTAGCATGGGGTATCTAGTTTTGGCTGCTATGCTGTGTTTTATAGCTTCAGGACAATTCTTTTAACTCTGCCTCCCATCTCTCCATGGGAGTGCTAGGGTTACAGATTCATACCAGCTCATCCAGGTTTTTACATTGATTTCAGAGATTTAACTAGGCCTGCTAGGCTTACATGGCTAACACTTTTGCCCATGGAGCCATCTTCCTAGGCTTTAAGCCTTGTTACCAAAATAAACATTTAACTATATGACTTTCATGTCATACTCGGTTGAGAGGCTGTTACCTCCCTTGATTCAACATAGAAGAAAACAGTATTTGACAAAGCCAGAAACCAACATGTGTTTCTCCGGTCACAACCAATGGCCTTGTCCCTGATGTTGGTTCTTGCCTCTTGAATGGGTTAGAATTTTAAATTTCATGGCAACGCACTGGGAATGAGAGGTCCTGGATTCTATTCCTGGCTTCATTAGTATTGTGACCTTGAGCAGATGACTTCACATGTGAGCCTCTTCCTTCACTGTAAGATGAGAAGGTTAACTAGATGTCTTCAGAGGATCATTTTGGCTCAATTCTGTAACTCTGGAAGCACCTGTTGGTGCCATTTAAGTGTTCAGTATCCGCCTTAAACTTTTCCAAAATGTTCTAGTTTGTGGAAAATGTACAAATGCTTTTAAATCCTTTTTATAATTTGCTGTTCTTTTTTAATAGCAGTTGGTGTTTCTCCATTTGCTCTTATTACAATATTTGTGTATATTCTGTTACACTTAGAAATTGGATTAGCAATTGTGAGTGTATGATTATTTCTAAAATGAGAGCAATAACTTGGGTGTGTCTCTTATTTTAAGATGAAATCAAGTACTCAAATGGCTTACAAATCAATCATCTAAACTACGCAATAAATCGCATGTTTTCCATAAGAATATTCCATTATTCTAACACCCACTTAAAACTGTCAATCAGCTTAATAAATAAAAGTATAACCATTACTGTGGGACTGAGGACACCATCATTAGTCTTTTAAATTCATGGATTTTGTGTAGAGAACAATAGCTATTCATCTAAAAATGGAATTGTTTGGAAACCCCTGAAATTTGTTTTGAACAGTTGTTGCCTTTTTATCTTATGAGTTAACTTCCATACCCATGCCAGAGAGAAAGAGGCAGAGAAAGAGAGAGGCAAAGAGACACACACAGAGAGAGATCACACACACACATATATATACACACAAAATTATTCAACAGAAGGCTACTAGTCACATGATTGTTCAACTTGAAGTGAATGCTTGCTCAAAGTGTACATACAATACAATTACCTGACAAGAAGCTAATAAAAAGTACTACAAGTCCCTTTACCTGTAAAACACACACACACACACACACACACACACACACACACACACAAAAGTGCTACCTGTAGTCCTTTTTATTAGCACAGAAAGAGGGACACTAAAATAGCACTGAAAGAGACTGAAGTCCAAAGCCTGTAAGCCAGCCAGATGCTATCTGATAGAAATTTGGGAAGAGTCCTTTTTCTTTCTTTTATTTTGTTTGTTTGGAGAACAGGGTTACATGGAGCAGAGACTGGCCTAAATGTCCTCATTCTCTGAGATTGGCCTTGAATTCCTGATGTCCCTGCCTTCATCTCTGACATTCTGAGACTCCTGGCTTATGCTGACATGCCCAGATGTGAAGTCTTAAACTGATCTACAGAAAATGCACAAAAACTGAGTGCTTTGAAATGAGAGTCCCCAGAAGCAATATTTGATAGCTCCAGGTGATGGTTTGAGCAAAGTCCCTCCTTCACCCTCCTATTTGCCTTAGCACCAAGGCAGATGGGAGCAACTGTCTGTCCCTCCACGTATCCTCTTGTCTTATAACCTTCTGAAGTGTGTGTGTGTGTGTGTGTGTGTGTGTGTGTGTGTTTGCTTGTTTGTTTAAGGCAGAGACAGAGGCTATAGACTCACACAGTTAAACGATGGCAGAAGAACTGAAACCTAGATCCCTGTGGCAAAATTCCAGGCTCCCCAAATAGGGAAAGTACTTCCAAGTCTTACTTCTCCTCACAGGCGTTTTTTGAGCTTTGTCAAGATGCTTTAGCTCGCTAATCCACGGATATAAGTAAGATCAGGTTAATAATAACTACAGAGACAGTTGCTAAGGGAAGTAAACTAACACAAAGATCCTTTTGGAGTCCTTAGCACAGAGCCTCGCAGAAGGCTGCTCACAATGAAAAACTACTGTTACTACTGTAACTATTATGATTGTTGTTGCTGTTAGAATTATGAAGCTTGACTTTCTAACCACGGGCAAGCATTTCCTTCCGTTATTCTGCATGCATTAAAGTCCTACAATGGAGAAAAGAAGTCTAAGTATGAGCTGACCGTGGTGACTTTTGACCATAATTCTCGGACTTGAAAGGCTATGACAGGGGGACTATACTAAGTTGAGACCAATCAGGGCTTTGATAGTGAGTTTCAGGCTATCCTGTGTTACAAAATTAAAACATATTGTATAAATAAATTAGTGGTAAAATTAAATAAGTTTATTTATGCTATGAGCAGATTAGCATTCTCTTAAACAGTTTAGCTACCTACGAGATGGAACCTGGAAATAGACCAATAAAAAAAAATACAAAATTATTTCAAGCTTCAGATAGTATGGTATACAAATGGAAACTTCAATTTGAAAGTGCAATCTTTTTACTTGAAATTTAGTGTAGGTTATTTGCTGAATTTTCTTCAAAATTATCTTAGAGACGTTAATGTCTAAATTAAACTGTGTATACACACACACATATATACATGTATATATATGGCCAAATATAAATGTACACACTCTGAGACACGCATACAACAAAGCCAACCAACCAACCATACAGCAGAGAAAGATGTGAGGAGACAAAGTTGTCTTACATCTGCAAGACAGGCCTATTCGATCTGGTTTACAGAACTTACTCTCAGCCTACTCTTATGGTTTCTCCATATTTGGGCGGCAGCATACTTCAGCTGGGGTCAAGTATATGGTCATCCCACTGCTGATATTTCCCTTGCCCTCCTCTAATAAGAAGCATCACCTTTTCCCATGGGTTCTATTCCCTCTGTTTAAAAACATCACTATACTACAGATGCAGGCATAATGCTTTCGTAGAACCACAGAGACGCAAGGCTGCTCTTTATATACGGCCCATTTCTATTTTATATATAAATCAGACATTCAGTATATTTTCACATAATTTTTTGACTCATGTTTGTGTGTGTATGTGTGTGTTTTAGATTCTTTTTCTCACTTCATTTGATATATTTTTCCACTTTATGCCAGGCCAGACTTACAAAGGCACTGAGGATTACTTCCTGTTACTAGCTAAGGGGAGAGAGGGGCTGGAGAAAGAGGATAGTTCTTGTGCCTAAGAAATGAGTTTACTTTCCAAATAAAAGAAATCTAAATATGGCCATTATCATCATGTGCCATTAACAAGCAGCTCTCTCTCTTGGCAAGTTTGAAATTGCTGGGCTCCATTATAAAAGTTAAAAATGTCTTGGGCCTGGAGTTGTTTACCCAGAGTGCGAACACTGCTCTAAAGTTACAGAGCTCTGGTTGGAAGCAGGGACCTGAAGGCCGCCTCTAAGTCCCTGACGTCACAGTAGCCCCAGCTGCTATTGTGACACTGAGCTGAGTGGCCCTTTGATGGTGCAGTTTGCAAAGGGGCTGTGGGAATGCACGGACTCCGTTTTGAAAAGGAGTCATTGAGACTGTTCCGTAAGACAGCTAGCAGCTCTCGGCCCCGCTTCCTCCGTTGCTAGACTGAGCACACAGAAACTGACCCGCTGCAGGATTGCCCCCCAAGTACAAGAAGGTATGTTTCTTTCTGGCGAATTTGAAAGCTAGACACTGATCGTGGCAGGACACAGAGGGGCTGCAGTTGGTGCCTTTTAGACTATGGATGAGGTTTAAGTATCGTGGGATGTCAGCATCTCCCGTGCTGATGGATGTCTGTGTCCGGTGATTTAGGACAGTGGGCGGGGTGCATAACGGACTCCACTGACTGGGGAAAAAGTTGTTCTGCTGCTGAGGGTGGATTTTGCAAGCCCGGACTCGGTACCATCCTTACCCTGAGACCGTGTTTCTCACTAATCCTTAGAGGTTCACAAAAACTTGGCTCAGCTCAATTATTAGAATGCAATTTGTGGCAGGGTGGAATTAATTTTGTTATCTGCAAAATAAAATTCACAGCCCCTGAGTTTGCTGTTATTTGAAATTCGCAATTTTAAAAAAAATATAGTTTAATCTAAGATGACTATTATACTTCTGGGTAAATGTTTCTGCATAGTGAGCTCGGAGACACTGGAGTCTTTAAGAAATGGCAATAGTACACCCTCTCCTCAAGGTTATTACTCTTAGATCTTTGCTTCCCCAAGACAAAGGTTGCTGTTTTTAATCAAGCCCTGTATTTTGCCAGTTAAGGGAACTAAACTTGATGTGCCTATAGCTTCAATTGAAAGTATGAATAAAAAATTGGAGAGCCAAGAATAAACGATGATAATCAAATGAGTAAACAAAATTGATTTATTTGGTATTGAATGTGCTGTATCTCTTTGGCCTTGCTAGAAAACGAGGAGCAGGCAGAAGTGGTGATGAACAGCAGGGATTTTTTTTTTATATATATTATCTCCTTAGAAAGTCAAGTTGGGAGGTCTCTCGATAGGTTCATTTTCTGATGAACAGCACAAGGGAAATGGAATTCCTTAATTGTCTGAAATGATATCAGTGGTTGATAAGAACCTGGAAAATGAGATGCAGAGTTTTGGTGACAAGTGGTGCTGTACTTTGAGGTCCAGGCATGGTGTTTTCTAGTCCTTCCAAATTCATCAGGAGCAAAGCATTGTCAGGCCAAATGATTTCTTCTAGGAATTGTGAAATTGGCAGGATATGCTGCCTCTGCCCTTCTTTCTGGAGTATGCATCCTCCTGTGTGTGTGAAGTACTTGAAGCTTATGAAGAGCAATCTACTTGGAAACAGAAGAAAAAGGTCACAGAACAAATACTCAGAGCAGACAGAAGTAACAGTAGAGTAACCTCTCTACATAGAGTTTACTTGGCTAAAATTCAGCTTTCAGTGGACAAGATGGAGTTTGAAATGGTCATAACCGGGACACAGAAAGAACTGAGCATGCCTCAGGTCAAGAAGTGTGGCCATCACCACACTGAGGCAGATCTGGGAATAAAATGGCAGCAGGACATCTTCTGCTCAAGGCTGTTACTTCGATGTCTTTGCTTCTCCAAGCCAAAAGTTGTTTTTAGTCAGAGTTTGTATTTTATCATTTATCCCCTGTGAGACACTTTGGCTACTCCTAAATTTTGCTCCCTAGCAGGGCTGAACCATCATCAGCTGAACCGTTTTGCCTCCCATCAGCACACTTGCGCAACCACTCTCAATCGTTCAGAATCTTGGCTTCTGGCGTTGAGGAGAAGTAGGTTAAAAGGGATTACACAATGCCAGTTTGGTGCTGCTGGGGGAGGGACTCATGCATGACTAACAAATGCAGCTACATCTGTCCTTCCACATTTCCTCCGTAAACTTCTCTTCTGAATGAACTTGGGGAAAGCTGAAATAAAACAGAAAGCAAGGAAATATGAGAAAGACGATGCAGGACGCAAAAGATCCTTTCTTCTTTCCCCCATAGATGCCAGAATCTGAGGGAGGGAAAGAGTGACAGCTAAGAACAAAGAGAACTTTTATATTTGCTTCAGTGGAGAGAACTACATCTGAGCTTTTGAATGTGCTGATCCACTTGACCCTGAAACTTCTCATCACAGAACATGCTGTCCCTACAAAATGGACCCTTTAGCTTGGCATCTTAAAAACTTAATTGAGAATAATAGCAAAAAAAAAAAGAGTTTTATGTTATTTATTCAGCATTTTGCTAGCAACGAATGGTTTTGCACTACGTACTTGGCTTGGCAAACAACCTTAAGAAAGTTGAAAAATACTGAGGCAAGACGTAGTCAAAGGGAATAGAAAAGTTTCCACAGTTAGACTTGCTTCCAAGGAAGTAGAATTCAAAATAATCAGCTTTACTTTAGGAAGTGGGTTACATGGAAATGGGCGAAGGAAAGGATGAAGGTAAAGAGGGAATGAAACACAAGAGGGAAGAAATAATCACTTCTCAAGGATTCATTATGATAGCAGCAGTGTTTAGATTCTTACTACACATTCTCTCACTTGGTCACTTATGTCTCAGAATGTTTCTATGCCTACCCTCTAATAGTTGGTTTTTAGAGAACAATGCAATATCTCTTTCTGTGTTACAGTAGATATTTATATGTATATGAATACAAGACTGAGATGCTAGCAAAGCTAAAGAAATCCCTGTACAAAAAAAAAATTGGCAAACATTGCTGTAAATAGACCTTTTGGTCAAACCTTCTTTTTGATATGAAACCATTTGTTTTCAACAGTAGCCATCACCTTTCATGAACTAGGTTTTCCTTTGGCTCTGGAAAGGGGAGGCTGTGTAGATAGATCAGCCCTGAAACACTAGCTCAGTTTGATGCTATGCAGGGAGCCTTCACAACTGTCTTCTGGGCTGACATACTCCTATTATTAGAGATAAAACTGATCTAGAGTATTTCTGGATGATCTTCATGTAGATAAAAATAGAAGGGCTTTAAACTCTGAGGTGCCCATGGTTTGGTAGGAATTAAAATGAAAGAAAAGTTGCACCCATTGGTACATGGCTGTAGTAAATCCTTGTGAGAACAATTTCTGAGTATTTGCAGTTTTTAAACACAGTTGGGACAAACCATGGGATATCATAAAATCTTTTTTCTATCTTGCCATTATCCCAGCCCCTCTGCATAATGTCTTTAGTTAAATTTATAGTTTCCTCTTGATGTCTCAGACCTCCCTAATTTTCCTACGACCTCCCAGGGGCAATTCTTTATAGCCACTGAAATACTTTCAGGTCACAGTTTGTTACAGATAACTTTGAAGCAGTCTCTCATTCTTAAAACAAGCCTGGTCTGTGTTTCCTGGGAATGGGTTTTAGATGGACCTGAAATATCACCAGATAATTAACAATAGTAAAGGTTATGTCAGTCGAAACAAAAACCCCAATTCTGCAAATTCTTTACTTTGTTTTGTTAGATCTTCATGGTTTATAGGTGCAAATAGTAGCAAAAGCAAAACCAGTAATATTGGGGAAGAAAATGAGGTTAGAAACAGAGTGACTAACACAGGGTTCATGACAGCAAGTTTGTAACTAAATTGGGAACTGTTTACTTTTCTCGAATGACTTGATAATGATACAGTGAGTGCCAAGGAAACATGCAAAAACTATCCAAGTGTCATTGGTAAATGCTTTTTGAGAAAATATAGATCTCAACATCAGTAGGGGTTTTTTTTGTTATTTGTTTTGTTTTGTTTTATTTTTTGCTTTTTTTTAAAGAAGCAGAGCCTGCACAAAAAGTTATGCTTTCAATTCCTTCAAGTCTATAACAATTTATTCCTATCTTGACTGGAGAGGCCTGACAAAAACAAAGTTATCTTTCATGGTCATCTAATATATGGGGTGTGAAATATGCAGTTCTCTTTGGTGAATACAAAATTGTTTTTCCTACATAATCATACAGACTTTATTCTGTCAGAAACACCACAACATTGACTGTTGGTAGATTTGTGCATGAGTAACAGGTTAAAGCAATATGGCCATGAGTTACTAAGCTGGTAAATATGGTTTTGGTTTTTGTTTGGTTTTCTTTTTTTTTTTTTTTTTTTTTTTGGTTTTTCGAGACAGGGTTTTCGTTTTTTCTTTCTGGTGTGTGTGTGTGTGTGTGTGTGTGTGTGTGTGTGTGTGTGTGCCTGCGCATGTGCGTGCATGAACACGTGCTTGTACACATGTATGTTCTGGAGATCTGCTCAGGACCTTGACAAGCTAAACATGTGAACCTGCTGAGTTACACATAACTGATGTGGGATTCCCCTCTGTATGCTGTAAATACCATTGTTAAATAAACAAACTGTCTTGGGCCTGTGAAGAACAGAATAGAGGTAGGCAGGAAAAACTAAACTGAATGCTGGGAGAAAGGAGGTGGAGTCAGAAAGAAGCCATGGAGCTACTGTTGGAGACAGACATGCTGAAACCTTGTTGATAGGCCACAATCCTCATGGTAAAATATAAAATAATGAAGATGGGTTAATTCTAGATGTAAGAGCTAGCTAGCAATATGCTTAAGTAATTGGCCAAGCAGTGATTTAATTAAGACAGTGTCTGTGTGGTTATTTCAGGAGTTTGGGCAGCCGGGAAACGAACAAGTGGCTTCTCTACAACACATAACTCTATGTTCCTTACTGGCATAATTATTTTAAGTAAAATCATTTATTATTAATAAACTTTTCTATTCACTACAAACATACATGCTTTTATTTTTATTAATAAAATGTTCTTCAAATAAAATAAGAATTTTAAAGTCCAAAGTTTTTTAATTTCTCAAATTGCTGTACATGTATAATACTATCTAAAGTTCATAATAATGCTATGAATATCCTTACTTTAATATAAATAAAATATCAACTTTTATAACAAAATTATGTATCTGGTATTTTAAGGTTAATTTTTAAGTATGTGTATATGTGGGGATGGAGTATGTACATGTATCATTGGAAGTGTGCACAGAATTCAGAAAAAGCTATTGAATTCCCTGAAACTGGAATTACAGAGGATTAGAAGTCATTTAATAAGCGGGCTGAGAACCAAACATGGGTTCTCTGTAAGGGCAATATGCAATCTAAACCTCTGAGCTATCTTTCTAGTCCCTATTTTTGGTATTTTAAAATGTCTCATCAAACCATAAAAGTTCATTTCCTGAATGTTAGAAATCAGGTCATTTTGGTCACTACTTAGTGTAATGTAAGAAAGTTTTTCTCCAGTTTCCTATAGTTATAATTCTAGACATGTAGACATATATAGTCCCAATGAAAGAAAAGAGACCATGAGTAAGTTTTAAAATGTGTCTCACAGAATAGTAATGATACTTGAGATCTTATTTGAGAAAGTAAAATAATGACCCTTTTCATTTTTAAGGTTGGTATGGTTTCTTACTAAGACATGGAGTTCCACAGTGACTACCGGGCTTTGGGTCTTGGTACAGTCTTCCCACTTGACATGGGGGAGATCTTGCTTCTTTTGTGTTTCGTTTTCTATAGTTTAATTATGTCATTGACTCTTGTCAAAATGATGTTTCCAGAAAGCACATGAATTTGAGACTCTATCTTCTTGTATCTTTATTTTATAAAGGCAAGTGAGACCACTTCAATTCAAACACTTCCACACTTCCAAGAAACAGTTAAAGGAAGGCAGAGATGAGCAGAAACCCCTTGTCTGACACTCACACAGTTGCCATGGACCTGCAAAAGCAGTGGGAGAACACAGACACCAACTGGCATAAGGGAAAGATGGAGTTACTGGACCAGTTTGATAATGAAAGAAAAGAATGGGAAAGTCAGTGGAAGGTCATGCAGAAGAAGATCGAAGAGGTATGGTTTGATTTAGTTTAAACATACTGTAAACTCCAATCTAGAAAAAAGTCAGTACAACCTCACCTAGTGGTGTCTCTGAGACTGCTTTTATTTTGTACCCTTACGTTAAAACGAAAACTTAGAATTGGTTTTCAACTTTGTTTATGCTGTCAACCTTTTAATATAGCTCCTCATGTTGTGGTGACCCCCCCCACCAAAAAATTATTGTGTTGCTACTGTATAACTGTAATTTTGTTGCTTCTATGAATCATAATGTAAATATCTTATATATATATATATACTAATGATGAATACATACATACGTATGTATGTGTGTATACATACATATATATATATATATATATATATATATATATGGTCTACAGTGTACAAAGCTAGGATAAAAAGGTTGAGAAAAACACAAGGAAAGCCGGGCGATGGTGGCGCACGCCTTTAATCCCAGCACTCGGGAGGCAGAGGCAGGCGGATCTCTGTGAGTTCGAGGCCAGTCTGGTCTACAGAGCTAGTCCCAGGACAGGCTCCAAAGCCACGGAGAAACCCTGTCTCGAAAAACCAAAAAAAAAAAAACAACAACAACAACAAAAAAAAAAACACAAGGAAATATTCTCTCAGGCTATAGAGAATCAACCCTGGTTTTTAAAAATAAAACAAAAAAATCCAGTACTTGGAAATATTATGATTATGTAAACATAACAAGTGTTTTTTGTTTAACAAATATATTGTTCAAAAAATACAGGACGCTTATTAAAAGTTACTTGGATCTAGTATTAAAATTTTCAGGTTATTGAACTGTGTGCTAGAAAAGTGAAGACTCCTGAGTGTACATATCTAACATCAGTAATGTTAAATAAGATCACTGAGTGAAAGCATTCGGCATCCGGCATCTGGTATCCGGCATCCAGCACCTGGTATGAAGATGCTTGTATGTCTCTGCTGAGCTCCTGTCCACATTCATTGCAATTGCTCTTGAAGAGTCAAGCTATACGCACTCAGACCATTTGAACATAATCCACATATGAACTATGATTATGGCTACATTGAGTTGATAGAAATCTTGAACTCTTTTTATTTACTTTGCAATCTTTTCTGTTTGTGTCCTTTGAAAGAACGGTCTTTCAAGGACTGAGTATCAGATAGGACAGATTCCCTATGCCAAACAAAATGTTCTCCATTCATTACAGTATACTAGCCTGGGGGGGGGGGAGAGTGTAGTTGTTCTTTTAACTTGTCAACTACGTTGAGAAGTTATGGGAAGTTATAATGGCAAAGAATTACACATAAGTTAAATAATATCAAGGCAAATTTGAAGGATGTGATGAATACAGAAGGAATTGGATATAGTACACAAGAATGGGACTTTCTCAGACCCAATATATTTAGCATGCAAAATGAAAGGTCATGTGTATGATGAGCACAATTTCCTTTGAGATTGAAAATACAGCAATTGTCCTTCTACTCAGGAATTTTTTGTTTTGTTTTGTTTTAAGAGAGAGGGTTTTTGTTGTTGTTGTTGTTGTTGTTGTTAATGGCCCCAGATATTGGGAAACTTGCTTTATAGACCAGACTGGCTTCAAACTCACAGAGATCCTCCTGCCTCTGCCTTCCAGGTGCTGGGTTTAAAGGTGAGTACCACCACAGCAAGCCTATTCAAGAGTTCTTAAATGGGGACAACACTACCAATGACACCTTCAAATTTAACATGGTACTTTTGAGAGTTGTTCCTTCAATAATATATGTTGAACAGCAGTTCAATACAGATAACTTTGTAAGCATCAAAACCATCCATTTATTGCTGTAGTTTGGTGACAACCTTGCTTCAGTGAGGTGAGTGACTAAAACTTTAATCAACATTGGGTAACTAAAAGCACCACGTATTCTTAATATATTAGTTATGTACATTCTCTCAAATGAAGTTATGGTTCATTATCAAGTATGTTATTATTAAAGACATTTATTGCATTTGTGAAATGAAGTTTTAAAGCTTTAAAGTTATTTGATGGTCTGTTTTGAAAAATGACATGCTTTTGCAAGATACAAGTCTCAAGAGAATGCCACTTCCTTCTTCCCTTTAGGGGTGAGTTGACAGAGTATCTGCTGATCTCACTGAGGTAGCCTCCTTAGGAAATAATTTAGGATTGTCTTTAACAGAGTCAATAGATGGCCCAAGCTTTCAAGCTCTGTTTTATCATGTGGAACACTTATGCACTCATTTTAATCTGCACAAAAACAAACAACATTCTTAAAGAATGTGTATCACTGTGTCATTAGAAATATCACTATAATATCTACCCCTCAATAATGCAGTTGATGAGCTAAAGGGGATGATTAATAAGGGCTTACTTAGAGGGAAGAATATGTCGATTTACTATATGATGTTGTCAGCTATTTGGATAATTAATGTTGCTATATGAGATCATATGTTTAAAATATTTTACTTTACTAATGTTAAACTCTTATTATATCAGAAAGTGGTTAGGGAGAATAGCCAGTAATTGATTCAGGTCAGTGTAATTTTGTTATTGTGCTTCTGTATTCTGTACAGATCCAGACTTCCTTTATTTTTTATATGCGTATTTTTTTTAATTTTTATTCATTTACATACCAACCACAGTTTCCCCTCCCTTCCCTCCTTATTCTTCTCCCCCACCTCCCATCCACTCCTTAGAGAGAGTAAGGTCTCCTATGGGGAGTCAACAAAGGTTTGTGTATCAAGTTGAGTCAGGACCAAATCCTTCCCTACTGTATCAAGACTGAGCATGGTATCCCAAAATAGGGAATGGGCTCCAGAAAGCCAGTTCATGCAACAGGGATAAATCCTGGTCCCACTACCAGGGGCCCCACAAAAGGACCAAGCCACACAACTGTCGCTCACATTCAGAGGGCCTAATTTGAACCCATGCAAGCTTCTCAGCTATCAGACAGAGTTCATGAGCTCCCACTAGCATGTGTCAGTTATCTCTGTGGGTTTCCCAATCGTGATCTTGAACCACCCTACCCCTTGCTCATGTAATACCACCACCTTCTCTTCCACTGATCTCTAGGAGTTCAGCCCAGTGCTTGGCTGTGTATCTCTGCATCTACTTCCATCTGTTACTGGATGAAGGTTCTATGATGATAATTAGAGTAGTCACCATTCTGATTAGAGGAGAAGGCCTGTTCAGGCACCCTCTCCACTATTACTAAGAGTCTTAGCTGGGGTCACGCTTATGGGTTCCTGGAAATTTGCCATGCTCTGCTCTCTGTCCCTCTCACAACTCGACCCTTCTTTTCTCTCATGCTCTTATCCCACTTCCCCTCTCTTTGTTCCCCCCCAACCCTAGTTTACCCAGAAGATTTCTATTTTTGCTTCCTACGGTGATCCATGTATGTCCCTCTTAGGGTCCTCTTTGTTACCTAGCTTTTCTAGGACTCTTTGTTGTAGTCTGGTTATCATTTGCTTTACATTAAATATCCACTTACAAGTGAGTATATACTGTGTATGTCTTTCTAGGTCTGGTTACCTCTCTTGAGATTATTTTGTCTAGTTCCATCCATTTGCCTGCATATTTCATGATTTCATTGTTTTTTACCCCTAAGTAATGTGGAAAGGAGGCTGCTTGTTGGTTCCCAGCTTTTCAGCCCCAAAATAATCACAGAGAAACTGTATTAATTAAAACATTGCTTAGCCCAATAGCTCTAGCTTCTTTTTGGCTAACTCTTACATCTTCATTTAACCCATCTTTATTAATCTGTGCATCACCAGGAGGTCATGACCTACCGGCTAAAGTTCTGGCGTCTGTCTCCATCTGGGCTACATGGCTTCTCTCTGACTGCCTCCTTTCTCCCAGTATTCAGTTTAGTTTTCCCTGTTTATCTAAGTTCTGCCCTATCAACAGTCCAAAGAAGTTTTCTTAATTAATTAACCAATCTTATTCACAGCATAGAGAGGGGAATCCCACATCAGAGTAATACTCCATTGTCCAAATGTACCACATTTTTTACCCACTCTTTGGTTGAGGGGCATCTAGGATGTTTCCAGGTTTTGGCTGTTATCAATAATACTACTATGAAAATAGTAGAGCAAGTGTCCTTGTGGTATGATTGCACATCCTTTGGGTACATGCCTAAGAGTGGTATAGCTGAGTTTTGAGGTAGATTGATTCTAAGTTTTCTGAGAAACTGCCATACTGATTTCCAAAGTTGCTGTACAAGTTTGTACCCCACCAGCAATGGAGGAATGTGCCCATTACTCTGCATCTTACCTAGCATAAGTTATCATCAGCGTTTTTGATCTTAGCCATTCTGAATGGTCATCTCAAATTCATTTTGATTTGCATTTGATGGCTAAAGTTGTTAAGCAATTCCTTAAATGTTTTTCAGCCATTTGAGAGTCTTCTATTGAGAATTCTGTTTAGATCTGTAACCCATCTTTTTAATTTGATTTCTTATCAAAAAAAACAGAATCCTTACTTTGCCCTACTAAAAACTAGTCTTTATGGTTCACCACAATTTTTCTAGCTCATTCTTGTTTTATAGGCATTCTCTATACGCACAAGCATAAATACCCATGGTAGTACATAGTAATATTGCAAAGAGAACTCAAAATAATTTGCTCAGTATCAATAATATGGATCAAAGCTAGGCACACCAGCACACACCTTTATTTCCACTGCTCAGAGGCAGAAGCTGGTAGATATTTGAGAGTTTGAAGTCATTCTGATCTTCAGAATGAGGTTCGATTCAAGACTATGTAGTGAGATTCTACTTTTAAATATATATACATATATATTGATCAAATAAACTAGCAAAAGTAAATTTTTAATTTTTATTTCTTACAGCTTTGCCAGGAAGTAAAGCTGAGGAGGAAAATGAACATGAATGAACATTCTAAGGTCATTAATCTTGATCATGTTCGAGATAAAATGGAATTTCCTCCAAATCTCCCCAGTTCAAGACAATGTGAATTCAGAGTGACAAATCACCAAGATGGTCTGGTAAAGGAAAACAAAGTAGAAAGAGACTTCCTCAGGGAAGGAAATCAAGTGTACAGAAAACAAAATGTACCCCCGGAAAGTAAAGTCGGGCTTCTGAATCTGATGGCCACAGAAGAGAAGGCGTGTGATGTGTGGGCTGACAGGAGGCCTTCTGAGGAGGAGAGTACAAACTGTTCTGTTGCCCTTAACACAGTAAGTAAGATAGGACCAGCCAGAAACTGTTTCTAAAGAAGTGTGAACACTCTGAGTTCTAACAAAGGTTCTTTTTTATGTGTTATGTGTGTGAAGGCTCTTGACGAACTCGCAAAAGTTAGTGAAGAACTGTGTACCTTTCAAGAGGAAATCCGAAAGCGCTCTAACCACAGAAGGTAGGCTGGCACACATGCGATCGTTGTAATCCGGGAAATCAAAAAAGAATTCTGTTTATAGTCAGTGAATCTAAACTGCCTCTTAATGTATACCTTATTTCATGAATTCTTAAAAGTAATCTTCCAATCCATTTCATTACTTAAATATTAGGAATATGATATTCCTTTTGGTGTTTAGTTAAGATAGACTGTAATAAATGATTATGTATCCTCGACTGTAGTTCTTTCTCATTGTGTGTCAGCAGGAGGAAAAATATACAAATGGACAGATCCAGTTAAATCAGTTATTAAACATGACAAAGTTAACAATGTGGTGTTTGAACAGTACAAGATGTTCTGTTTAAATATTTTAATACTGGATCATTTATTTCTCAACAGTTAGGTATATAATAAAAGAATATGTACTTCCAAGTAACACATTATATGTCTATATGGCACCAGCTCTGGTTTTATGTCAGAATCATAATGTAATTTTACAAATTATATAGAATCTCAAGCTGTCATGGTGAAAAAAGCTGTCATGGTGAAAAAGAACATGAAGTTGAGTGATTAGGTAGGTAGAGAGGATCTTGGAGGAGTTAAAGGAAGATGAAAAACATGATCAAAATATATTTATGAAATTCCCCAAAAAACAAAAACCACTAAAAAGTGAAGCTTCCATGGTCATTCCATGACCTTGAGAAATGACTTTAAAGCCTCAAGGTGTGAGCTAACATTGTTCTAAGATTTGGCATAACCTATCTTTCATCATCTCTCACTCTGCTATAAGTCTATGCAGGATGCTCTTCATTCTCTCAGTGGGCACACTTTGCTAGAGTTTATTTCTTCTTACTACCTTTCTTTGATTCATAAAATACAATCTTACCTTCTTTTCAAGTTCAAATGACACCTTCCATTTGGAATTACCTAGTGTTCATGACACTCCACTCAGACTGACACTATTCCCAATGTTATTGAAAATCCAAGGAGAAAAGTGAAGGCTGAATAGGAACTATTTAATAGAAAATAGAACTTGCATTGGAAAATGAGGAAAAGGATATGATAGGAAAAATACTATAGAAATGGGAACATCAAGAGCAGAAACCCAAGAGACTACATTGCATAGTTTGAATCTAGCATGAGGTTTCATGCTAGGAAAAGTAAGGGATGACACTGACTAAAATTTGGGTTAGAACCATGAGTATAACACTGAAGACTTTACCCTACAAGAAAGCAATAAATAGGTCTTATAATAAATTAATTTAGTATACATATATACACATATATATCACATTATGTATATAATCACATTATATATATGTACACATACATACGCACACATATATAACTACACACATAATATTTTAGCAAATTGTGACTTTTTCTAATAGCATAAATACATTTTTAAACTATGACTTCTTTTAAAAGCTCATTTTGAAAAAAAATGTCATTAATATACCTTGATTTATAATTGTTTAGGATGAAGTCTGATTCTGTTCTCCAGGAAATGCCAAATGAAATCAGTGTACCTCATGGGAACCACTTGATCAGTAATGGCCAGGGCATCCTTCCAACCAATAGGGAGAAAGAAAAACAGAAAAAGAATCTGAGCTGTGCCAATGGACTCCAAAATAATTCTATGAAAAACTGTGGAATTGGTTTAATTGACTTACAAAGAAGTGAAACTCCTCCAGTTCCTCCTCCAAGAAGTACCTCTCGAAATTTCCCCAGCTTATATTCTGAACAAGCCCAAGAAAGACTGAAGGAAAGTTTATATCACAGGTGGGTGGCCCATGAGAGTCAAAACAAATCTAACTGCAATTCTCATCTCCTTCTGAGGCGGTCTCCACTGTTTCCACAAGAAGAGAGAAATTTGAAAGATAGTACCGTGGTTTCCTCTTTGACACCAGAAGTCAAAATAGACAGCAAGCCTCCAGGTAATGAAGAGATTGGACTTAATATGTGGTTATGTGACTCTGTATCAGGTACAAAGGAGAGCCCTTCTGTGCAGTCCCAAAAAACTGGTTTTACACCCAATAAAGCAAAATTTGAAAAGGTGATTCCAGATAATCCTAATAAATCTCAGCTTGATCTTCATGTGAAAAATGACTTTCTTCCCTCAGTGACACAGAGAGATCCACTTAGAAGCTACAGCAGCAGTTATGAACAGATTCCAAGGAATGAAAAGCTGGCAGCAAAGATTGATGAATTTAACAGAACCGTCTTCAGAACGGACAGAAATTGTCAAGCAATACAGCAGAGTCAAAACGATTCAAAATCACCTGATGATCTCAACCTTCTTGATGTCTCTCTTGCTCATAGATGTGACATGCCAGAACATGACAGTGGGACTAGTGGTTTGAAAGTTAGTGACCACACACCTGGACCCACAGAAAATGTGTTCAGTAATTCTGCAAAAGTCCCTGCAACAGGCCCGGTCAAACAAATACAGGCATGTACGAGTCCCAGCAGCTATCAGCTCATGTTCCATGAGCATGACTGGAGACCAAGCAATTTTTCTAGCCGGCCAAGGTCAGCTGATCCCAGATCAAATTACGGTGTTGTGGAAAAGCTGCTGAAAACCTATGAGACAGAGACAAGGCCTGCGCAGCAAAATTCAAGATGTTTCAGAGATAACTGGACCAAATGTGGTTCTGATGTAAGTGGTGGTATCATGTCAATGTTTAGAATTGTGTCAAATGGAACACTTGGTTTAGTGTGGGATTCAGCAAGTGGAGCAAGGACTAGATTCAACTAAGATAACACAGTTGAGAAATCAGGGACTACATCTGTCTTGAGCAATAGCTCTGAAGTCAAGTTTAGTTTCTAGTACGATGTCAGCCTGTGTTGGGATCTTCTTAACGTCTTGGCCCTCTGTGAGGCAATATCTTAATATGCGCTGAGGGTATAGTTTTAAAAACTTCATCTAGTACATTACTTACAAATAAATAATATTAAGGACACGAGTGATGATTGTGCTTTTAATTTCAACACTTAGGAGGCAGAAATGGGTAGATCTCTGTGAGTTTGAGACTGGAGTGACTTTTCAAAGTTAGCTCCAGGCTATCTGGGACTAAGTAGTGATACTCTGCCTCAAAAATAAGTAAATAATAAATACATAAATAATACATAAATACATAAATAAATAAATGACAAAAGATACTTTCGAAAACCTAGGGAAAGCTGTTTGTTTCCTTTTAAAAAAATCATAATACATATCTGTTGACTTACAGTTTTACTCTAAAGTTTTATTGTTTCAGTAAATTAATTTTTAATAGCTTCCTCTTTCTTGATTATGATTGATTCAGACTTTCCCATTTCGTGACCTGTGGCCTCATAGGGTTTGCAACATGAATGTACGTGAAGGCAAAGCAATCATTCAAAACAACGTCTCCTTTTAAATGCTTAAAATTTTAAAACAAACAAAAACAAATCTTTGTTTTTGCCACTAAAAGACTATCTACAAACTACAGCTAGTCATAGATACTTTTCACATGAAAATTAACAAAAAGAATGGGTATTTAAATAAACTTTTCTTCTCTCTTTTTTTTGTCCATTTAAAAGAGTACTGTCTTCATTAATTGTAAAAGGAGAGGTCAAGAAAATTGGTATTTACTATGAAGACTTATACAAAATGCCCTTTATGTAAATATGCAATTTAAATAAGATGACTTACTATCATTAGTCAGCATTTCAAATAATCCCTTGGCTTTTGTACTTTACTTCATTTTAGTTGAAACCATAACTCTGTAGGTTCTATGTCCAGAGACACACAAACACGTACATTAACAAATTTCTCATTAACTAAGAATAGATGCTGAATGTTTCCTCTTTTTCATTGATCAGATTGCTTTGCCTGTTAAGAGCACTGCCTGCTCTTCGAAAGTTCCTGAGTTCAATTCCCAGCAACCACATGGTGGCTCACAACCATCTGTAATGAGATCTGGTGCCCTCTTGAGGAAGAGACCTGGTCAGTTGTTCTCATCAACTTTGACCATGAAACCCTATATGAACAAGTTCAACAGAACCGCCATATACGTGCTGCCCATGCATGCTTCAGCATTGCCAGGACATAAGTTTCATTCATTCAATTTCATTCTACTGTAGATCCTTAGGAACATATTGTATTGCTTTGCTTCATTTTTTTTAAAGAAAAACTTGAATTAAATTTACATATCCAAAGGGACAATTTTAAAAATGAGGCTATTGCTTGGCTATGAAGGAAAATAGCACAAAATCTTATGAACATTTTTATTATTGTTGTTATGGTGGTGGTGATGATGATCCTTTTGATGTTTTTGTGTGTGTGTGTGTGTGTGTGTGTGTGTGTATAAAGGTGGCATGTGTAAAGATATCATGGCCTTTATTTGTGTTATAGGAATCCATAGCAGTGAAAGCCTCGAATGGAAAAGGATTTTCCCGACCTGCCAGACCAGCTAATCGCCGACTCCCATCCAGATGGGCATCCAGATCGCCATCCGCACCCCCAGCCTTACGGAGGACTGCCTACAGCTATAAAGTCTCTCTGCAAACTGAAGCCCAGATGGTCTAGATCTAGCCTGGATTGCTGGATTATACAAGTTCTCATCCCTTTTGCCAAACTGAATATTCAGAGTGTTTGCAAACAATCCTGTTCTCTTCTGCAACTTTCAAGATCACTGGGACAAGCAATCTAACCCTAACTTTCCATCGGTCTTCAGTGTTTTTAATCTGTGGGATAATTATCTCCTTGTACTTTAATTTTTTAGATTAGATTTTTTTTATTGCCATCCTCATTGACTTTCCAAAATGATTTAAGTTGAAACAATGTACAATATTGTATAGTCTAACTTTCTTGCAAATGCAGAAAACAAGATTCTGTGCATGGCCATGTGTTTGTAGGTGCATGTATTGTCATAGGAATGTATTTAGGTAAAAAATTATGTGCTAGTGTTGACCTTAAATTATAACATGTAGACCTATATATTCTTTGTGTTCATTTTAAAGTTTTGAAAATATACAATCCTATTTATATTTTGCATACCTTTGAATAGGTACCTAAGGCATTTGACATTCATATATTATTTAAACACTTCCTTGGCCACTAACTACATTGAAAAATGAGAATTATACATGAACCAAACATTAGAAGTTTTCCAGAAATCAATTTTAAACAGCATCTTAACCCATATGGAGGTAACTGATACTATTGATTTTTTGTTTAAATGAAAACATCACAAGTATAACATATCAGTCTTCTAAAACAGGTATAAGATGCTCATCCGTGTTTTTGTATATCATCTGGTAGTCTCACTTGGCTTTAACTGTATACTTGATTCTTGGAGCCAGTATCGTAAGACTGCCTTAATAATAACAGGATAAAATAATGAATTCCTTTTGTTGATTTCAGTAACAAACCTTCCTTAAATGAGATGCAGAAAAAAATTAAATTGTGCTGAATTTTACTTTTTGTTAAAATTGTGGTAAGTTTTTAAGTTTAGCTACTTTATTTGGAGTTCTTTCTCTGCGGAGGTAAGTCACTTGTTTTGATTTTTCCTTTTTCTAAGTTTTTCCCAATAATTAGAAGATAAAAGACTAATTCCTATTTTTTATAAGGAGGATGATCAGGAACAACCTTTCATTGATAGCTAAACTATATTGCATTTCTTATCCTGTGTAAAAAGGCCTTAAACTAAATTTGGGCATTGGTTGTCAATGAGACTACCAATATATATCACGGCTACAATTTGCTCACACCAGATGCATGAAATCTATATTGATAAGTGACATAGGAGAAGTAGGAAAGTTGAGATCCTCAGACTCTTACATGGCCGATCTTAAAACAACTTTGTTGTAAATTGTTCTCCTTTAAGAGCAATTGTGTTACATGGTTAGTATTAATCTACTTCACCCAAAAAGAAATTCTCATGCCTGGCAAATTCAGTGGGCTTTCTCCTTATGATACTGTAGCCACTAAAAGGAATCCACCTTATTATTCCATTCCCTGAAGTAAAATAGTAATTTATAAATCACAGATTGCCTTAAAAGGCTTGAGACTGTGGCGTGGTGACGGCTAGATTCGTGGTTTACAGTAAAAGGTTTCCAGGGCTTAAGAGGAATTAAGTGTCTAGAGTGTGAGTTTGGCACACGTAGTGAAGGTTATAGATCCACTCTCTCACTCTTAAAGGACTTTTTCCTATCACAGGAGAGCAACCAAGAAACTGGGTGTTAATTGCTCTATACTTTAAACCCTAGAGAAGAGAAAATCCTGGAAAAGTGGTTCCTTGGGTTGAAATGATAAGCTAAAGCTATTGCTGTCTTCACGTCTGTTTCCCTACACCCCTGTATCCCAGGCAGCACCTCTGTGTCCCAGGCAGCACCCCTGTATACCAGGCAGCACCCCTGTATACCAGGCAGCACCCCAGTATCCCAGGCATTCTGGGATTGATCAGCAGCCCCCTGTCTCTGCTGTGTTCATGTCTGTTTCCCTGCACCCCTGTGTCCCAGGTAGTGTCTCAGGCAGCACCCCTGTATCCCAGGCAGTCTGGGATTGATCGGTAGCCCCCTGTTTCTATGCTCAAGCCAGAATTCTGAGCTCTCCTTTAAAAATGGGAAGGCCTAAAAATAATAAAAATAGATTTCTAGCAGTGGGGACCTGGGATTCCTGGAATCTTTAATAAAACAAAACAATGTAATATATTTGATGGCCAGGCTGATTTGGAAACTGGGGTACTGACTAGAAACTGAGAGGATTCAAACTTTGGATAATATCTTTCATCACTTAATACTTTTCTTTGTTATCAAAAAAAATAATTACATTGCCAGCCTTTGTAAGTTTAAGCCCGCCTTTTCTATTATCGTTTGAATAAACCAATGGGACCATTTTAATATCTTATATTAGCTTGAATCATAGACTCCTACAACTGAAAAATTAGCATTTAGTCCAACTCCTTGATTAGAAGACTGAATAAACTAAAACAAATTGATTAGTCTATGTTCTCTTTTAAAGCTATTTATAAATTTTATGAAAAAAAACAGATAAATGGAAATTATTATTGTTGCAAATTTTTTATTTTGAATTATTGTGATTTGTAACTGGTTCTTTTTCTATTCTGGGTAGACGTTTTCTTCCCTAAAGCATAACCTTTCATTATGCCACCATCCCTAGGTTTAAGGATATGTGTAAACATTTACAGGAATATTTCGTTAGGAATAACTACTTAGAAATGTTTTCCCTAGTAGCTTTTGAAAAAAATGAAAAAAAAGTCTTATTTTTCCTTTTTTATAAAGGATTATTGAAACTTCTAACTGATCTTCTAGCAGCATCCTTGAGGTCATCTCTCTCTCTCTCTCTCTCTTTCGTGTGCGTGTGTGTGAATGTGTTTGCACTTTCATGTACATTTTTAATATGCCTTATATCCCCAAACCAAATAGAAAAAGATAAGTGATAATTTGTCTTATTTATCATTTCAAACATGACCAAGAGCTTTCTTTTGTCCATATAAGAAATGAAGACTATGTTTTATTTTGCTAACATTTCCCCAAAGCCTGATTTACTGCTACATAAATGATTTAACCAGGTACCACAAAGTCCCAAAAACAAAATATCCAAAACATCTGGTCCCCATAAAGAGTATTAAGTGTCCTAAAAACATCCTTCAATTTATTTTAGGTACATTTTCTGATAAAAAATTATTTGATATGGAAATCTTCAGCCATTGGAAGCTATTAAATAAAATAAGTTTGGAAACACCTACTGTTTTAAGCACAAGAATGTCTTTATTTTCTTCCTTTCAATACTGGACTCCAGTGGAGCTTTGAGTCCAAACTCAGATCCATACATTGTTCAATGCAGCTTCCCTAGAAATAACCACAGAGTTGAAGACAATCCTCATTGCAAACACTGTTCCTGTCTAAACGGTATGAAGTTTGAAGAAAGTTTTCTTTGAAGAGAGCTTTCTGCTCTGAGATTTGCACTTATGTGATGAGATTAAATTCTTTTAGGTAGATACAAATTTCTAGTCTATTGTTCTATTAATTCAAATGTTAATGTTTTTCTTAATCAGAATTTATAAGTGAAAAAATGCACTTGTTTTTTAAAAAAATTAACATAATAAGGCAAAAAATAAATAAGGAAAGTCATCCTTGGGAAAACTTCAGAGATGACTGCTCCTGAGTCTCTTTTCTTGATGTAGGAAGTGATTTTTATATTAGTAAAATAATATTAGTAAAATAAAACACATGGCCTAAAATGGAGTCCATTTTGGTGAACTTATGAATCCAATAGACTGGAGAAGCCTGTTAAATTAGGAAAAAAATCCAGACTTGGAAGCAACTTAAAAGTCTTCTTAGAGGAAGAGAGCACACAAGATGAATATATACTAAGAAAAGATTTGTAGATTGTCTGGCATGATGCACTCTGGGTAGTCCTACAATGGCTAGCCGCATGCTGGAGAGGCTAAGAGTCTGGCAACTACTCATCCATAAGGTTGTACTCTCAGCATTGAAACCTGATAAAGAAGGCCTGGAGGATCATTACAAGCCCCTGGTTTTCAGTTCACATTGGAAGGCTGAGGTAACTGAGTGCTGATGTCAAAAGGGGATAGAGGGAGAAGCAATGGCAGACAGTGCACTTACAAGCAAGGGAGTAAGGTGTGTAAGCATGGAGCAATAGCCTTTTCCTTGAACTTTTATGTATGAGGGGTACCATTGGGAAGTGCTGTTTACTTTGAAGAAGTGCCTTTTCCTTCCAAAGATTAGGAAGTTTCCCCCTCCAGGAAATACCTGCACAGACCTGCCCAGTGCCATGTTGCTTTGTTGAATCCAGATCTAATTGTGTTGACAACCAAGATCATCAGGATTCTTGACAACCTTTCAGATCTGTGAAACCTCTGATAGCTACAGACATCCCAGGAAGAGAAGCCAAGCCTCATCCTCACTACCCACAATCTGATTTCTGTATAAATTGTTGCCTGTGTGATTTACAGTTGGCAAAATACATTCACAGTCTATTGTTTCTTTCTAGCTCATAGCTAATTTCAGGATGGACTTTTTGCAAATTCTAATCACAGAAGGAAATCGAGTAGAATAATAAATAGAATAAATATTTCTCAAGATGGTGGTTGGAAATGGGAACAGCTCCTGAATAAGCCTCCTCAAACCCTATCTTCTTGTATAAAAAAAGGGGGGGAGAGAAGAGGAAAGAAGAGAGTGAACAGTTCTCATTGGGAGTTTGATTGAGTCTTTCAGTGACTGGCCTGCGGTGCTCCTGGTTTGTATGTGTTTACAGCTTCAAGATGTTACAACCAACACTCACTTTAGAGAATTCTGTTCTACTTTTTATGCTTATGCTGGTTTTCCAAGGATTTTGGATGGAGAGTATGAGAAGGTAAAGTACGCAGCTAATGAGTACAACACTAGCTGAAAGTTTCCAGCTCAACATACCCCAGAATAAATGATGACACTTTCCCTGGAGCCCTGTTTTAATAATCTGTCCTATTGTAACAAAATCCCCATAAGCAAGTTATCTGAGGAGAAGAAATGTAGTTTCTATAATTCTGGCAGCTGTTGCTAGGCAACTGGATGAGTGGTGAGAATGGTCCTTCCGTCTAAGACAGGATCTGGTTGCTGGGCTTTACTTAGCATGTGAGTTGGTATCCTTCCAGAGTAGAATACGAAAGCTTCCAATGGTAGATAAAGCTAACATTTCTTTTGTGTGTGTGTGTGTGTG